GCCATATATAGCAGAATACGCCAAAAGCGGCCGTGCAACATGTAAAGGATGTAAATCTTCTATTGAAAAGAATTCACTGCGTTTGGCCGTTATGGTTCAGGTAGGAATTTACAATATAACTGGCTTCCGCCACGTTTAAGACTTAGCTTAGAGGTGTCTTATAATTGGTCCATATAACGTACAAATACTAGTTAAGGAAAATAAATGTATAAATAAAATACATATATCCCATCACTGTAAATAACAGGATTTTGAAATATGTGCAATTCATGTAGAAACAAAAGCTTTTTAATACTATGGATTGTACTTGTTTTTATGTGTTATATTATTATGACCTATTTCACTTCTTAATGTCATCTGATGAACTCATGCATCCATGGAATGTAATAAAGATGAATGCATATGTGTGACTGATGTTGTCAGTTATTGAATGTGTCTAGCGAATTGGCATGATTACACAGATGGAATAACATTCATCATGCTGTATGATGCATTTTCTTGCTTGCATAATTATGTTGTACAAAGAGGCATATGTAGTTAAAGGACTGAGGGCTCTGTAGAACTCAAAGGAAAACTGAAGCCCAATTTTAAACACTTCTAGAGGGAGGGGATATAATCATGTATTTATGAGCTAGTCAGACGTATATTTTGAAGAAGTGTATACATACGTGTTGGTGCGATATCTCCTCTGTTAAGTTTTATTTGAAATAGGGAGCATGGCATACATGTATCTGTATGTACATTAAATTGGCAGTCTTCAGAGCGTAATTGCAAGTATAGGGTTATACTTAACTCACATGTTTGTCAGGTATATGCACTGTGTGTTTGAATGTTTGTATTAAATGTAATAGAATGTTTTGTGGGTATTACTGGTGGCTGCTAATACTCATAACCATCATACATAAATAACAATTAATGATTTATTTGATATAAGGCATTCTTTTTTAATAAATTCTTTTATAGTCACTGATGTTTGATGGAAAAACACCTCACTGGTACCACTATATGTGCTTCTTTGGACGTCAGCGGCCAAAATCAGTAGGTGATATTTCTCATTTTGAATCCCAAAGATGGGAGGATCAGGAGAAGATAAAAAAAAATAGGTAGGTAGGAAATTATTGCTGTATCAACTATTTATCTCAACTTGTTATAAATATTATGATGTCATAAGTTTTTGGTCTTTGCGTATGATGTGTGTGTGAGAGAGTTAGTAACGGTGAAAAAGTATTATGTTATTTATTATATGCAGCTGAATAATGTTTTGATGACTGAATCTTGGTTCTAGCAAGTTCACCATGTTCAGCACAGCTGGGTGCTGGATATTCTGACCTCACTGTGAAGGTGATTAGGAATGCCTGCAACTTTGTCACTGTTTCCTGATTTGGTGGTGTGGCCCATGGGCTACAGTAAACATATAAATGTTCATATTGTATTGGTTTTTAGTGGAATTAAATATGTTGAAATTAAAAATTACTCTTTCTTCTCAGGCACTATAGTCTGTTGTGGACCTTGGCTTCCAGTACATTTTTCCTCCATTCGTGACAATCCTTAGCCACTGTATGCCAATTTTGTGTTCCCATAATCTTCCAGTTCTCTTCAGCTTCATCTATCCATCTTTTACATTGTCTGCCTCTTTTTTCTTGTTCCTTGCATTTTAGTTGTCATTATGTTTTTGAGCCTTCTGTTATTATTCATCCTTTCAATATGTCTGCACCATCTCAATGTAAGAGATTTTATAAATTTTACAATATCTTCCCCTTCTAACACATCCTCTCTCCTTATTAGTTATTTTCCAGCTTTCTCCTTCATTTATGGTACTGTAAATTCTTCTAATAATCTTCCTTTCAAACATTCTAAGGGCCTTCATTTCTTCTGAAGCCATTGTCCAAGTTTGAGATTCATTACTTAGAATAGGTGTTATTAAAGTTTTGTTTATTTTTGATTTAGTGTTTTGGGACACACCCCACTTAATGGTACTTGCACCTTGTCGTGGTGGTGGGGATTGAGTACCTCGGTGATCCCAAGAGCTATGCTGGCGGTAGCTTAGCTACTGGTAGGGCCTCCCTAGCCAGATTGGTCGAGGGGGAGAGGTCAGACTAAGACAGGTACCCTGGTCCTCCAGGTTGGGGGTTGGTCACAAGGCTAACAACCTTGCACCGTAAAAAGGAAGATGTTTCAAAACCTCAATCAAAGCCTCTGATAGAATGCACGTAACAATGGGACCGAGTGGAAGAGGAGAATTGAGGAAGCCATGGACCGAATATGGACCAGAGAGCCACAGAAGAAGAAGTTTTGGGACACAAGTAAATACCTTAAAAGTTTAGTATGTGCATAATATGCATGGTTTGTTTTAAAATGAATGTATTTCCACATTTTATTTCCATTGTCCATAACTGATCTCAAATATGTGAAAATTTGAACACCTACAAAATTAAAATCACTTGTTGTTAGGTTTTGATGGTATCTTCTTGCTTGTGAAGAGGGCATTTTCAGATGTTTAGTTTTCTCTTCATTAATTTCTAGTCCCATTGCAAATAATAATTCTTTTAATACTGGAATATTTCTTGTAACGAGGATATCATTGGCATAAACACAAGTGGCATAAACACAAATTTGTTTGGATTTAATTTGTAAACATTATTTCGTTTTTCTACAGTCCTACCAAGACCATTAAATACAATGGAAAATTACTAGGGCAAAAGAAAAATGTATATATTTAGGTGTCCCACCTAACTCTGTAAAATCTAATAATTCTCCCATTTTAATGCATAAAAGTAATAAAAAGTTTCAAATAATGTGTAATGGTACATAAAAAATAAATGTGTTTTGTGAAGTCATCTTAAATCTTGCTGTAATTTTAGCTTCAAAATTAAAAATGACAATAATATTCTTTTCAAATATTGTAAGGGCCTTCATTTCTTCTGAAGCCATTGTCCAAGTTTGAGATTCAATACATAGAATAGGTGTCATTAAAGTTTTATTTATTTTTGATTTAGTTTTTTGGGACAAAAGTAGATACCTTAAAAGTTTAGTATGTGCATAATATGCATGGTTTGTTGTTGTTTTAAAATGAATGTCTTTCCTCATTTTATTTCCGTTAATGTGAACTTGGTGTCTTGTTGTATTTATGAAAATGGTGTGGGAAGAACACTTTGTGAAGATTCCATTTTTATAGGACAGAAGTTATGAGAAAGCCTTTCATCAATCTACTTTTTTCTTTAGGGCGAAGTACGAATTTCAAAGGACTTTGAAAGTGAGAATGCAAAAATGTATGGTGGTCAGGAGCGGTGGTACTACGTTGAATGCTTTGCGGAACTGCGCGATGAACTGGAATTTTGGGAATCTGGGGATTGTCTTCCTGGTATCGAGAGCTTAAAGGAAAAAGATCAGCAATTGGTGAAAAACAAATTGCCTAAAGTTGAAAAGTAAGTGGTGTATTGCAAATAGAATATAACCCTTCAGTGATGGCAGCCAATTAAATTGTGTCGTACTCTGAAAAAAAGAGGGGGTTTACACCCCATGTACCTGGTCTATATACCATGTGTGGAGGCTGGTAGGTAGGGAGACAATACAGTTGGTGGATACCACATTTCCATGTTTCTAAGAGCATTTGTTTCAGTTGTTTCTCTGTTTAATAGTGTTTATCAGCTCCATATTATACAGTTTTCATTGACAGGTTGGTGGGTAATTCCAAATAAGAAGCATCAGTGCTGATCACATTGTAAAGTTTGATATCACTGTGTCTGTTTTCTATTTAATTTTTTCTAAAATAGTTTGTTGCTATTTGAATCTAATATCATAACTACTGTTAATTGTTCAATTTCAATTATGACAACTTTGAATAACTATTTGGTATAATTTGGTATTTATAAAAGACTTCTTACAATGGTTACTGTGAATTTCCTACATGCATCAATATTCGCTGGTGTTTTATTGTTGTTCCTCATGAGCTGCCTTTATTCATACTTATAAATACATAATTAAACATTGTAATTGATGCAAACTTTACAACTCAGTATGTAGGTTCTTTTTGAATACTGTTGTGTGTTCTGCAACCGCTCTGCTGCCCCAGGTTTCAAGTGTGCATTGGATTTTTATAATAAATTGTATATTCAAATGTTGTAGTTAGAAAAAGGCAACGTCTTATCTTTTCTAATTAAGATTCATAATGCACACATACAAGTTCATCGTCGATTGTTTTATTCAACGTGTGTTATGTTTTGTTTTTATATGATTGAGTTGTTACATGTAGATACATATTTATGCCATGTACAGTTTTGCACGCCTGTTTTTGAGACAAAATTTTGTGGTGTGCTGTTGCATGTCTTTGTAAGAAGTGAAAAAGGTTGTGGAACATCGGTGTATTGAATTTCAACCTTGGAACTGAATTTATAATTTGACATGTTATTACATTAATTGTTTTTACCTTAAATCACAAAAAGAAAATATTCGACAATTTCCCAAGTAGAGCTTCGTCGAGTATTTCGAAACATGTTAACGAGATGTGAAACTTGCTTGCAAGCACACGGAAGTCACTTTGAACATCTACGTCAACAGCAGCGGCCGATAACGCAATG